ATGGTAAAAAGAGCGTCAAGAGATGAAAACAAGCTTTCTCACTCTCTCTCTCTCTCTCTCTCTCTCTCTCTCTCTCTCTCTCTCTCTCTATTTCTCTTTGGTTCTTTTTGTACATTTTGTTTTTCCTCTTGTTGTGATTTTATTTTTTTTTTCCCTTTATTTTTTCTCATTTATTTTCTCGATCGAACAAGATAACGTTTCTGTTGATGCAACAGAAAGAAAACGAATCGATTAATAACCGTGAGAGATTCTTAGCATAGAACAGGTGATTTTCTTTAACGATCAGAAAAGAATAATAAGAAGTAGTATAAAAAGATAAAGGTAGACTCGTTGTTATGGCTTTTTGATATTTATGATAACATTCTTCTTTCTTCGTGTTCATTGATCGTATACTCTCGATCGGAAAATCATGAGATTTTATGGTTACTGTTTGTTCGTACTCGTATTCCTTTGACAAGCAAAATGCAATCACTCACTGCTTTGTTCTTAACACTAGAACTATCTAAACCAATCAAAATCACTGATCCAAGCTCAACCAAAGTCTCCAGTATTATTATTATTATTATTATTATAGTTGTTATATATACAATAGATATTTTTGTTAACAATATTTTGTGTCTTAATTGACACTCTGAATAAAAGTTAAATATCAATATAAAAAAAGTTCAAACTCTTTATATTTATATTAATTGTTTTAATTGGCTTGTCAATTCTAATGATAGTTCGAAAGCTTCACCGTTACTTCTACTTCGTATTTAATTTCGTACGAAACACGCGTGAAATGTTTTAAAAAGCATAGCAAACGAATTTGTTCAACGAACGGTAACATTTTCATTAATTTCGTTGATTCCATCGTCAATTCGAAATTCTTTTTCGATTTCGTAAATGCTTTTCCTTCCGTTATCCTTGATTAGGATTGCACAAAAGATGGCACCAAACCAGCATACAATAGCAAATAACCATACAGCTTTTCTAATATTATCGTCCGTTTGCAATGAACTAAATACTATCATCGCTATGACCGAAAGGATCCAATTAGAGAGAGCTGCGAATGCCGCACCAATAAGCTTTATCTGTTGTGGAAAGGAATCTGCTATAAGTGCCCAGGATATTGGTGCTACACCCAAATTTAGTGATAGGAAATATAGACTGATCCATGCCGGTGGCATCCACCAATACCAGTCATCGTATTCCGGATCTTCTAATCTTTTACCGAAAAACCATCCTAAAAATGAAACATATAAAATAATAAATAAATGAAATTTTTGTTTACTGGTCAACGTGTGGAATTAAAAGATATTGAAGAAAAATTCAATATTTTTATCCAAATGCATATATATATATTTTTGTTATAAAAATGTATAGATAAATTAAATAGAAATAAATGTGCGAAATATTTATTTCTTTTTTTTTTATTACAAAAATTTAAAGGTATTGAACAAAGTCAGTATTTTGATTAGATATATATGCATATAATCTAATAGGATAAAATGTAGAATATAATATTCCTGTGTTACATATAATAATAATAGGATTAAATATGATCGTAATGAAATTTACTGATGGGTGAGCAGCTTGATGTCAGAAACATGTTTCCTAAAGGAGCTTTGTTAAGTAGCCCAAATTTATACATTGTATTCTAACGAGATCGTTAACAAGAAAGCTTCCAATGTCCTAGTTACAGTTAATACGAGTGAATGAACGAACGAGAGAGAATGATAAAGAGAAAGAGAGCGGAATGCAGAGAGAAATTAAGCCGCTTGGTTGGAGAAAATAATTGCTAGTTTGATGCTTACCCAACAGTGCCAGGAACACTCCCATGAACGCGGATGATATGGTTAACAGAATTCGTCGTCCTAGTATGTCAATAAGCATATACGCCAGAATGGAAGATAATATCTGTACGAGTGCAACAACAAGTGTTAATTCACTTCCGTTGAGTAATCCTGAACCTTGAGTTTCGAAAATTGTCAGAGCATAAGTGATAAATGTGCTGAACCCGCTAAATTGTTGTATCATCATCACGCCAAAACACATTAGGAAAGAATGTAGAACTTGTCGATTTTTCATAAGACCAATCGTCATCTGTAATTATTAATGAAAGAGAAAACGATTAGATATTATTAATTATTTTATTAATCACACTATTATCTGTATATATCTTTTTAACAAGTCATAATTATAAAATAATATAAAGAAAAAAAAAAAAATTTTGTAGTTGCTGAGGAAGTCCCCAGTAAGGGACGAAACGTTCAACAAGATCAAATAAATTTGTTCATCAAAAATTTATTAACTGTCTTCAATTTTCCCTTTGAAACTCATATATATTAACTATTATCTGTGTATTTCATTAATTCTCCCACCCCCCTCCCCCGAAGAATGAATCATTATTAATCGATTTTTAGTTGAAATATTATTGTGAGATCAAACGAATCTTCATCGAGAAGATACACTTAAAATTATTTATTTGTATTTTTCCATTAATCTTCATATTATTCTCGAATATTTCCGTTTGCCTGAAATCTTCATGAAAGAGAGACTTTCCACATAAAGGAAGTACTTGATAATTATTTCGCAAATGATCCTTTCCTCAGAAAATTCAACGCAAATGAGCTCTTTCAAAACGAACTAACCCATTGACTTTAACTTTACCAACATCTTGACCTTTAATATTTCTCGTCTTTATTATACTTTCACGTATAGCAAAACAACGCTTACGATCACAATGATGATAATGATGATGATGATGATGATGATGATGATGATGATAATTATGATGAAGGTATAATATTACAATTTCTTTTTATGTCTGTTTAAACACATGAACATCTAAATTATACAGGAATTATTCTGTTATATTAGAAACCCAACAAAACGAAAGTTGGTTCTTACGCAAAGTTATTTTGGAAGATATTAATGATGTTAAAAGATAGTAGAAAAGGGAGAAGTAAAAATATAAGGGGAGGATGGTAAATTTTAATGAGCTTGGGAATCGGTTACATACGAGCAAGATCTCGTAAAATAAAGAAAGATAGTAGTATATGAGATAGTTAACTTTAGTGAAACATTTTATAAAGTATCTTACGATAATTACATCTTCGTTAATACACATAATAATTAAGACTCTTATTAACGTGTTACCTATTTCCGACTGATTTTGTTTTATTATTTATCTTTCTCTTTATCTATCCATCTATCTTATTCTTTTTTACCTTCCATTATATCTCTGTCTTTTTAGTTTTTACGTGCCATTATTCCTTAAGCGTGTATTAAAGGAAGTGAAAGAGAAAGAGAAGGACAACAAGAAGAAAAAATGGTTGGAAAGATAGTAAATACGTAATCTCACCTTGGTCGTTTTTCTTAGGGTTGCCAGCTGTCTAAGTTCTTCCATCTCGTGATCGTTTTCATCCCTGTTGTTACGATACCAAAGTAAAGAATTTTTCGCTCGAGTTTCATCCTTCTCGACAGCTAGGTGATGGAACGGAGTTGCCGGGATAAAAAGTAGCAGCACGAGTATCAAGCAACTGGCTCCGCAGCTTGAACTATATCTAAAGTTACCGAGAATCTTATTACTCCCACAACGTTTGGCTTATAAATAGCAGGAAGGTGATAACTTCGAATCACCTTTCTAGTATGTATATGTACTTTTTAAAACAAATAAATGGAAGAAAGGAAAAAGAGGGAAAGAACATATCCGTGGAACGAATGTCTTCAAACAGGGCTGGAACTAGGATTCGATACAATAGGGGTGAAATTATTTCTTGGATACTAATTATGATATTATTATTACAAAAATGATAAATATAAAATTGTAGTATTAAATATTCAATTTATAGACGATTAATTTCTATCAATTTTTTTACATAAATAATAAAACAATATGTCTATTTGTGCAACAGCAACATCGAAGTCATTTTCAAATGGATATTATTTAGCTAGAAACGTCTTCTATTTTCTGTTTTTTTTTTACTCTTTTCAGTTCGTCTGTTTTATTCGTTGAATTAGATTTCACAAATTTTCGCGTTAATACAAATTGTGAAAATAAAATAAATCGATCTATTAAAAATTTTGCGTTTTGTAAATATTTTTAAAAGATAGTCAAGAGGGGTGCTGTTTATTTTTAATTCGGCCCTGTTTTTAGATATTTACTCCTTTTTCTTTTCCTTTTATTTTCAGTCCCTTTTACGTATTCATACCTCCATATTATGTTACCCCCATCAAGACAGTGAGCCATCAAGAAGGCGTACATGATTCCGCAATTTATTAAAAGCTGAAATAAAGTCAACAGACGATTGCGGCTTTTCTGGTCTGTTATTTCACTGATGAAAAGTGGTGTCAAAAGACAAGACATGCCACCGGAAATTCCGCATATTAAACGACCCGTTATTATCAGAAAAATCTACAAAACAAATAAGAAAATAATTATTTAAATTAAAGAAAGAGATTATTTTTAAAATTATTAATTAATCGATTATTAATCGAGTCAAGATTTGTTATTTAAAAATTGCGAAATTAATTTGAACAATACGTTTTCATTTCCTATGCTGATTATCGACCAACCGATGACGTAAAGTAAAATCTTGATAATTCCATTGATCCAATGGTGAAATTTGAAGGTCCAAACAGCAAATACGACTCCCAGACAAGCACCAACGCTTAAAACGTTACCTATAATTCCTATCTCCATAATGGTGGCGATAAACTTGATCCTCATACCTTCTGTGACGCTTGAACACCAACCAAGCGAAACCCCGAGACCAAAACCACCAAGGGAAGCTGAAATTTTAGATATTTAATATCACATGGTATCTGTTCCTTCCTTTATTTCCTATAGTTTTCCTTATGTTTCAATTTTAATTTGAAATATTAGTAAACGTTAACGAACTATCAGATTTTTTATTTTTAAAATATTAACACGTGTAATTTTCTTATCCGATATTAAACGAATTAATATAAAAGAAATATTAAAAAAACAAAAGGGGTTTTTTATCTCGTTTAATTTATTAAATTCTTTGAAAATATGTTTTTTTACGTATATATATTTAAGGATATGCATATTGAAAATATATATAAAAATGTATCCACGTAAAATAATAATCAAGCAAAGATATAGTAAGTAAATATTATTCCGTTTCATGTACAAAATAACACGCATACAATATATATATATATATCTTTTTTCTTTTTTTATATGAACCTTTAGAGAAGTAAAAAAGTCCATAAGAAAATACAGATCTCTCGGATGGAATTGATTAAAGTGAACGTAGAATATGGGAATGATTCGAAGAATTAATTACCATTGCGGTGGAATTCATCCAGGACCAATATTCACAGGAATATGCACGTCGTTTTCACAGAGAGAAAAAGAGAGAAAAAGAGAGAAAGAGAGAGAGAGAGGGAGGCAGTGGGAGGGAGTGGGAGGGAGGGACTCAATAGGAATGGTAAAAATGTGAATTCCATTTGAGAAGTTAAGCCATGGATGAAACGGAATAATGTTTACTCGCATTTGTGTGCATGATTCTTGTTGTACATACATACATATGTGTTTAATAGATATATATATATATACATATGTTATCAAAGATTAGGATTTCTGGTCAATCAGTATAAACTGTACACCCAAAAAGCTTCAATTACTAATTCCACATGTGTAAAGTGTATATCCATTATTCTGTGTATGATTATGAACATGATATTTCTCTTAATTGATTTGTGAATATCAACGACATAAACGAATAATTTAAAACCAATGATCAAATATTTTACATTGAATTTCAATACTGATCTATTTCAATAATACGAAGTTTAATTTAATACGTTTCGTATGATTGAATAAAAAAAAAAAGAATAAAAAAAATACTTTCATTATATTTCATTTCAAATGTGATAAGTGAGTTTGTGATCGGAAAAAGGAACCATCTCTAATATGTTGGATACAAAACTCAGCGACGTTTTTATCAACGAAATTGAAACTACTAATAATAAGAAATTTTTATATTGCTTATAATTATAATTCATTGTTAACGATGCGTTAAAGTATTTGAAAGAAACGGAAATTTATCGATATCTAATGAAAAGGAGAGATAGAATTAAGGGATTTATTTTTCCTTTTCTTATCTCGAGGTTTTTTTTTTTCTTTGTTTTTTTCTTTTGGACAACAAGTAAGAACGTTAATCGGTTGGCCGGACTCGTTTCAAAGATAAACAGAGAAAAATACATTTTTCCTATCGAGCTTCTCGACATTTTCCGGTAGATAAAACGTTGCTAGATAGATTCAATAGAACTGCTGTTCTCTGGGAATGATATTATTCCAGGTTTCATTAGTCTCGCGAAATTGTGCATTGTGAGAAAAAAAGGAAGAGGGGGGTGGGTGGCGGGGAGGGGATTAAATGAAACGTTGTCCGTTGAAATAGGAAAATCTTTTTGCCTTTCATTTTTGTTCTCTCTCTCTCTCTCTCTCTTTCTTCTTATAATATTTTTATATTTTTCTTTTTTTTTTTCTTTGCTTCCGCTTTAATAGTCTGAACAAAAATAGGATGAAAGAGAGAGAGGTGTATTAAATGTGGTCAGAAACAGGGTAACCAAACAATGTCATTTTAGACTCTCTGTGCATTCCGCGAGTTCTTTTTTCTTATATTTTTTTTTGTTTTTCTGTCTTTTTTAATCTCCATTTTTACTGACAATTTCTCCAGGAATGAGAAAGGTAATGAAGTAATCTTATGATTTTATGATTAAAAGAATAATTTTAGGTACTTGTGTTAGGTAAAATTAAAACGAAATATATTGTATAATTTTAGAAATATAATTATTTTTCTTATTAAAATAATTAATTTTGTTAATTCTTTAAAAGCGGAGGAGTACTGGAAAAAAAAAGTTTTGCAAATCTTATTGTTAGTCGAAAAAATTCTTTTTAAAATACGCGAAATTTTATAAACGAGATTTATATTTTTAATACGCGTAGAATCGAATATGTTTTAACAATATTGATCAATAAGGAAAGAAAACAAAATACTGATTTCATTTTATATCTTTTCCATTTTAATGGTAAACAAAAATTTGAGTCATTTTAAATTTATAAAGTAAACTTAAACGTGCAACTTTGATTTCTTTATTTCTTTTTCCCACCCCCAACCCCAAAAGAAAGAAATTTAATTATAAAAAAACTAAGCATCATATTATATTAAAAATAACATAAAAAGCTTAGTTTTTAAAAGTGCCAACATTCAAGTTGCTAAAATAACGTCAAAGTAACACGTGTCAAGTGTGTTGTTATTAAAGTATTACGTAAAATCGGCCCCCAAAAAAAAAAAAAAACCAAACGACGACACGTCAACATTATTCCACGAAAAAATACTCTTCCCTTAAAGATTATTTAATTGAACATAATTTAAAATAAAACTAATTGTGTGCTATGTTATTTTATTTGTTCTCATAGGAGTGTATCACCACCACTATGAAATATTGAAATTTAAGAATAATGATCGCTTACCAACGAGGGCACCAACATGTTGATTGAAACTTTTTATCCGTAGGTTATTTGTCGCTCGTTGTCTTTCCGAGGCCATCTTTTCTTTTCTTCGTTTTTGTTTTTTCTCTCTCACTCTCACTCTCTCTCCCTCTCTTTTTTTAAAAAAAAGAAAAAAAAAATCTTAGAAAAGTAGCAGCGAGATATGTCGATAATTTCGTGCCATCATCGACACGACACGTCAAAGCCAATACGATCGCGTGGAATAATAACTGTTGAGAAAATATTCTCTCTCTCTCTCTATAGTTTTTACATTAAATTCTGACATTTTTTTGTTCTCTACCACGATTTTCCTTATATCGATCTACGAACGATCAAATTACCTTCCATTACTGTAACGTCAAATTTATCGTTCATGCATTTTTATTTCTTTTCATAGATTTATCGTCGATTTTTTGACAATAAATCTTTGAAACAAGTTTGTATACGTGTGTATATATGTATGTCGTGTACTACATTTCGAAAAGACTTGTTGTAACGATTTTACTGTTTAATAAACATGCTCTCAAGGGGGAAAAACAATTAATACGTTTTGTAATACACGTTTGCATTTACGATTATATTTATTTGATATCGTATCGATAAAATGATTGATAAACGATAAAGTATTATAACAAAGAATTCATTTATTCCAATTGAACGATCTTTTTTAACGAGTTACTTTTTAGTGTATTGTATTTTTACATTATTATTATTTTTTTTATGTTATTGATACGTATTTCTAGGAAATATTATTTCAATGAATTTTAACGAAAGAATTTGTATTTTTTATTATTCTTTTTTGAAACGAATCAAACGTTACAGAAAGGCACGAGGTTTGAAATGTTTTAAATTAAACAGTCATAATAGTTATAGAATATTTTGATTAAATTTTCTGGAACAACATTGAGATATCCCGTATGTTTTAATATTTATATGTATTCGTAGTTGAGCTTGATAACAACACATTCAAAATTCAAAATATTATTCACTTTCTTTCGATTTTTTTTTTTGATACACATTTGCTTTCTTTCCAAAACAATAAAAATGAGATATTTAGAGATTTATATATCGAATAAAATTTGTTTAAAAAAATCATTTTGAACGAATTCTTCATGATATGTCGTATACGTGTTCGTGTTTAATTTAGAAAGAACAAAAGAAAGAAAAGAAAAGAAGAAAAGAAAAAAAGAATTGAAATTAATATCCGACGAAAGTTCTTTCCTTTCATTTTATTTTTTTCTTTCTTTTTCATATTTTTTTCATTCGTATTCATATATTTAATAAAGTCCTTATAAATTGGAATATTTGAAAAATATGAATTTTCAGATTCATTTGTACGTACATTCTCATTCGTCTTATTAAATTATAATAATATATTTTTCTCTTTGTGAAAAAACCTCGTTGAAAAATACATTAGAAATTTTTTATTTTGATATTAAATAAAGAATATAATAATAAAATAATATTATAATAAAAAGAAAAAGGGATGAAGCGCTAACGATCGATCAATCGAGAATTGAAAGTGCGTTCTTTGACATGCGAAACATTTTGTTTTTCTACTTTTAATTGCGATGAAAAAATAAACATCGTACGTTTATATTTATGTATATTAAAAAAAAAAGCACAGAACAAATATATACGAAAAAAAAAAAAAAACGAGTGAAAGGGAAAGAGAAAGAGATAAAATGTTGCTATCTATTTTCCTATCGGGCTTTTAATGAAACTACGAATAAAAATACGAAAATTAAAGTGATATCCAATATAAAAGCCGAGAAGAACACTTGTATTCGCTTTGGTTTTCAATTGATATTACTCTCATTTTTCCCCAACTCCATCTACAGATGGTCTCTATGGTGTATAACCAATAAAGTATTATAATATTAATACCTCGTAGAGAAATAAATCAAAAGGATTCAAGTAATTGATTTTTAATACCGAGATATTTATTATTTTTTTAATTGGGGTTTATAATTAAGATACGCGAAGATTATTTTATTCATATTCCCATTGAAGAATAATCAAACTAAAGGTTATAATCATTGACATGATTTTTATGGTTAATCTATTGTAGTTGGTATATACGTTTCTTTCGTATTTTAATGCAAACGTGGAACAACATTTTGTCGATCATAATTTTCCAAATTTCATCAAATTTTTTCCAAATGGTTTAAACATTGTTTTTTAATTTTTTATTATTAACACAATCATCTTCTTCTTCTTCTTCTATATTTTCATTCATTTTTATATAAGAGTCACATGACTTTGATCTAATTTAAAATTGTATTTATTAAACAAATTAATATAAAAGCATAGGAAGATAGTGAATGAAAATTGTTAATATTTACCAAGGATGATATTATTTATAATTATCACTGTCACGATATTTTCCTATAGAAATCGTTTTTGTTCCCATGATAATAAAATACTCTTTCTTATATATAATAAGAATTGGAACATATTCGAAATTTATTCGTTTTACAGTAGTATAAAAGCCAACGAAATATGCATTTGCATAAGCATTCATGTTATGTAATCCAACGGAATGTAAGTTATCCTACCATTCACATCGAGAAAAAAAGCTTCTGAAGAATATTCTAGTTATATGTATATTAACATTGTGGAAAAATTTTTATTCGATTTTACGATATACTTCTATTCACGTAAATGATTTCTTTTGAATATAATAACTCTTTCGAAACTAGTTCACTAAAAAAGTATCTAGATATATGATATATCCTTCATAATAACAATCACAATAGTTACAATAATAATAATAGCTAAAGTTACAATATCACTCGAGATTTTTTATATTTTTATTTTTATTTTTATTCGAATCCGGTGAAAGGAAATGAGAAAATATAAGTAGAAAGATATTCGCTATTCTTAAAGCTTTGCCCTTTTCAAAACGTTTCTTTTCTTAAAATGAACGAAGAAAATAAAAGGATAGGGAAGAGATAAAAGAGTAAAGAAAAGTGAGGATTTGGTTATTTTGTTTTTTTATTTTCTTCTGTAGGTAATATTCGTTTTACACGGTATTATTAGAATACGGGTTTGTTTTCATATCCGTTTGGGAATTAGGAAATCCCTGTGCAATATAATTTGTAGATTCAAAAGTCGTGTCTTTTGATAGTTTTTAATTCAAGTATTTTTTGTATTTGAATTTTGGAATATTAAAATTACTTCATTTTAGAAATGTTGTCAAGTGTATCTGAGATTTAGTAATCAGTTCTGCGAGCAATTAATTGTTTTTATAATAAACAGGTTCTTAATCTAACTTCTTCTTCTTCTTCTTATTAACAAATTTTGAACCATCTTTAGTACAGTTATTATGGTGCAGGTGTTTCACTTTAGATTTCGAATAAGAAATGAGATTGTGTTAGACAAGAACTAGGCATCCAAGTTGTTGGTAAGATAGACGAGATTTTGGAGGAAATTAGTAATGGATTATATTGTCAGGATTGGCTCAGAACGATTAAGTAAAATGAATTGAAATATAAAACCCGTAAAACCATAATATATTTATTTAAACGAAACACCCAAAGTGTCCGAATACAAAAAATTCGACGTCAATTTTATCTTATATCTTACATCAGTATAAGTAAAAATATATAAATAGGTTTATACATTTTGTTTATTTGTACAATGCTATTGAATTATTATGAAAATTAATTTCGCGAAGATTTTAAAGAAAAAAAATCATTCAAATTCAATGCTTTTCGATTTATATCACGGGAAATATATAAAATAAATAAAATTGATACGAATTTTAACCGTGTACAAATATGGTACAGAGATTTTTATTAATATTTGTATTAATTTTATATATATAAAAAAAAAAAAAGAGATCTAAATCCGTCGTTTTTTTCCGCGAATCGGTTTTTCGTTTAAAGAGTTTAATACAAATTTGAATTTTGTAGAGTACTTTTGAAGGAAAGCAAAAAAAGCCTGTTACGTGGGTGCTTAGTTGTATTACTTTGAAATGGATATCCCTGCAGAACGTACGATCATAATGTCACAAGTTTCTCCTTAAGGTTATACATCGAGTAATCGACCGGAAGTGTCTGCCCTTAATCGCGCTCGATCTACCCTTCTTGCATTTTTAATGAAGCTCCAACAAGCATAGCCAACCCCTCTCGTTTACTTTAACGTGCCACCAGTTTTCTATCGATCTAATCGGAATTACATTACATCATCGACGTTAACACGAGTATCACGCGAATAGACTACCGATTTTTTTTTATCTCTTCTCTTCTTTCTCGTTTTATTTAAAAAAAAATTCAGAGAAATTTGACTTTGGACGTTAAGAGATCCGTAGAGAAAGAAAAATGTTTCTTCGCGTCTCTTTTGTGCGTGAAATAATAAATTTTCTCCTCCGAAAAAAGCAAGAAAGAAAGCAAGAAAGAAGAAAGAAGAAAGAAGAAAATAAAATAAAAGAAAAAGTATATAACACACAAGGTGTATAAAAATATTTTCCTAATAATATGTGCATTACGCCAACGCAAGATAGGTATTTCAATTTAGCGATATAAAATAAGAAAAAAAGGAAAGGGAAAGAAGGGAAAAAGATATAATACTTCTATAGGTTACTTAGATTAATTTTAGAAATAAGTTTGATCTATAAAAGTAAAGATTCCATAAGGTATTCGAATATCGATCCTTTTATCTTCGAAGTTGTTAATCTTCTTGAGAGAATGTTTTTTCTATGTGTGCGAGTATAAAAGAGAAAGATAGAAAGAGAGAGAGAAAGAGAGAGAGATAAAGTAAGAATATTGCAGTTAACCCGCCAGTAGCACGCACAGTCGTCCATTTACCTTTCTAACCATGCGAATGTATTCAAATTCCAGGCTGAAAATTTAGGAGGACAAGTGCTTTAAAATACGATCCCGTCTGACGTAAATTCGTACTTTGTCGTCGTTTTCGTCGTTGTCTTTGTCTTTGTCTTTGCTTCGTAGGTAGCCGTCTACCAACCTGATGCACAAACAGCTGCAGCAGCACCACCAACAGCAGCAGCAGCAGCAGCAGCAGTACAAGGAAAATCTATTACGTGTAGGAAGCATT